CATATAATTTGCAAATCAATATAAATTTTTTAGTCTTCAATCTTAGCTTCATAAACTCAATATTATTCGTTCACGTTTCGACGGGTGGTGTAATGTTATTTTGTCCATACGAATTAAAGAACTTTTCTATTAAATTAGGAAACGTTTACATCAGTAATAGCTCTATGAGTTGAAAAATATGAGTTGCCTTTTTTTTCAATTAAATATAAAGGCCACTTCTTAATTTTGTCTACTTTAATTCTGTAAAAGAATTTTTTATTTCATTCAGTCTATTCAAAGGTTTCTATGCTATTTAATGTATCAATAATTTCATCACTCCAACATCCCTTTAATATGACTGATGCTATATGGAAGAGTGCGTGTGATTTCCCGAAATCAATAACTATTTAATTGGTCTACGGATGCCATGATTGACAACATTATTTACAAACCGTTACGTTATTACTTCGCATAATTTTCCATGATGCAATCATGCATGATCTTATGCGAATCAGAAACCACTAATCTTGTATATGTGCACCTTCAATCGAAAGTGGAAGCAATGGCGATAACCCTTTACGCTGCACGTGAGACACTGACACTGACAAATTACGGAGTTTAGAACTTGATAATCTTGATTCCTCATCACACTGCCATCGCCGATGCAAGTGATGAGAAATTGTAAAGACAAAAGGTCGCGCGAACAAACCAGAAGAGTCGACAAAGTTGCAAAGTATATATTGCGTGTTTTCGAAAGTTCAGTCTAAAGTTGACGTTAAACTGCAGGCTGCTGGAATCACCGGATTTAATGCACAGCATCCACCTGGAAGTTAGCACAACGCGAACGAACTTACGCCGACTAACGTTGAAGAAAAAGAATTAATTAACTGACTTTACTAACTTTCTTGGCGTTGCGTGTTTTGGAGGATACGTTTATTGTCGAGAATGTAACGGATAGTAATAAGTTTCGGACTCCGTATATGTTTCATTTGGATATTATTATCAGTATAACTTTTATGCATTTTAAGCAGATATCGTTTTCCGAGCACCATTTTTTTTTATTGCAAATTGCAATTTAAATATCTTTAAGCTATAAAATAATACCAAGGAAAAAGGAGAAAAGACAGATCTAATATAGAATCTCGTAAAGCTGCAGAAATTTATAAAATTAACGAGTGTATATGTAAATTATATGATATAAAAAATGGTTTTCCGATATTGTTAAAAAATTTATTACACAAGTTTCTATTTTAATCACTAGAAGTATAATCACTAATCGATCTATCCAAAGTATTCATAGTGCGTATACAATTAAGCGTATGATCTTCAATAACGCTGCAATTCCCCCTTGGTCGGACTCGACTTCAGCAAATTCAAACCATAGCCGAATGTAAGCGACTCTCGCAGAGAATAATCTTGTATATTCGGTCTACATAACCGGCGCCACATAATTAATCGCGATAATCCTGGTGTGATGCAGCACAGCCTAACGATATTATCCTCCGTCGCTGCACTACTGACCTTGTTTATAACGTCGAAATTAGTTATACCTAACATTCGCGAGAGATCGTATTTCCGGCTACAAGTTGCAAGGAACATTTCCCAGCAGATTTCAGGGCATCATCGTGTATGCAGCGCGCTGTTCGCATTTAACCTTGGGGCAACGCGTTGAAAATAGAAACAGGTGATATAGACAGATTTAATATTAATAAATACGTCCATAAAAAAAAAGAGGGAAAAATGCGACTTCCTAGTGAGACTTGTCCAGTTGCATATCAGTTCTACGCACGATGCTTTAGTTTCTGTGATTTCCATGAAACGCGCTTCCATTGTTTTTCCTTCCTCTGGCCTGGCGTTTGTTCCTTCCGCTTTTTTTGCAATTTCAGCGGTGAAATATTGTGAAAAATATGTCGCGTTAGATTTATTCGCTGTCGAAGCAGCGAGTTGATACGATCATGCTCTGTTGTCCGTTTTTGATGATTGCTACTTTTTTCTGCGTTTTGCCGAGGAACACAAAATTCGCACTAGATCGCTTTGATCTACTAGACTTGTTTCGTAAAATAAAAGCGATCATGCTGCTGTCCGCTTGTGACGATTGATTCTTTTTTGACGTTTTGCTGAGAAACGAAATCCGCGTTATATCATTTCCATCTAGCGGCTCTATCGTGTTACTAGATAAAAATAGACCGACGGTTTTAATTTCATGAAATATAACTATTTTATAACTTATTATAAAATATAATTATTTTATATAACTTTTAATGCCTTTTTTGAATGATTGGTTCAATTAGACGAATAATTAATTACTAAATACACCGCAAATAACTACGAAAGAGAAATTTATGGTCAATGAAATTTTTCTACCTACGAGCTAAAAATGGAAATAGGCGGCGCGGCGTGTCCGACAGTGCTGC